TACCTTCAGGTCCTACGCTTCACGCTCGATGCCATCCTTCTAGCGGTGACTTATAGCTGGCTACAATATGACTTTGATAAATGCCTTTCTTGAAATTGTAATGGTGAAACCACTCATCGGCTGTGCCGGCACCGTTATCTCGTTCTGTTACTAACACCGTTTGTTTTGGTCCTTGAGGTGATCTTGATATCATGACGTCGAGCGCTGCGTTCAAGAAAAACAAATGAAGTTCTCGTCTTTCCTCCCCTGTAGTCCTCAAATTCAACATCGTGTCTTTATTCACGAGGGTTGGAGCATTGATCCAGCTTTACAAACCGTTTCCACCATCCGATGCGTCCAAATAGACAGGAGGTAAGGAATCTATAACACGTAAGGCTGAGCCCATAAACTTATAAATTACTTGAAGCGGAATATGCTTTCCCGCCCTCTTCGAGTGTATTGATCTGTCCATGATTTGATATGCTTATACAGAACATCTTGCATATCTCAAACAAAGTATGACCCAACATGCTCCTGCGTTCGCAGGCTGATCTATTCCTCAAGAATTTATCGCCCGAAACGACTCAGTGTCTGAGAGCCTCCTTACCTCAACAATTTGAATGCAGAACTAGTCCCAGATTAAACGAGGAGCAAAGATGGAAGGAAGATAAACATAAGTTTTGAGCAGTATTGTAATCGGCAACCTCGATAAACACGGAATGGTGAAGACGATCCTATTGGCGTGTGCAGACGAGGCACGCATGCATGCACACCGGGGCAATCACTGGCCGTGAGGACTGCAGATCCTTTGGACTCAGGAAGCCACGGGCTCTCCGCTAGCGTCACGTTTTGGCAGGTATAAGAGCATCTTTGCTTTCCGACCCCATCCATTTTCCTCCATTTTCATCAGGTCAATTTCACCCTACACGTACATGGTAACGGTTCCGTGGCAATCCGGCTCCCTTCAGACTAACGACTGCCGGTAATTGTGCGTAAATTAAACAACGTTCCTTAATATCGTGGTCTCTTTGCGTTTCGATTTCGGTCTTCTGGATCCCTTCCATGTTGATTCAGGATCCACCTGTTTTTTTTATATTCGTCTCTATACTTCTGCTTTTACGGTTGTCGGTTACGATTGCTGATCGCTGACCATGACCTCACAGTCCAGTTCTGATTTCCCTGTGAACCAAGATAGTCGATCTATTCCAGAGGCGACATCATCTGATCTTCCTCATCTATTGGTACCAAATCAGTGGAGCGGTTGTCCATTAGAAGATAGTCGACATACCTTCCCATGGAACCATGACAATGCCGGCCTGCAGCTCACTGGAATCAACCCAAGGCTCATCGAAAATGGATTACCATACGAATCAGAGCGATGGTGGGAGGGAGGGCCAATCCCTGCTCAGACTGAATATGGTTGGAGGAGCAGCAGCGTTGTGTGGCCGATTGACTTAGATGACCCTGGAGCGGATGATCGATGGGAATACCTTCCGGAGCAATCCGGTCATGAACATTATCAACCGCTCGATTGGGATATGCCGGTCTTCCCTCTATCGAATCACCTTCACCGCAAGTTTCAAGAGTCTATGAATCCCGCATATTCACCAGACACAGCCACCCATTCGTCGTCATTTCACGTCCCCGAGTTAGACAGTTCAAGGCAAGGAACATCACCGACAAGCTATGGCGAGACTGTCTATTCACTATCCGAGAGCCCAAAGTCTTTTGTTGAACCAAGAATAGTCACGGAGTCTCCAGATCTAAAGCTCGCTATTGAAGATAACGTTAGCCCCTTGGCTACAAATCCGCGGTAAGATCCCCTTTTTCCTTTGTTCATCCAGAATCGTCTGATCGATGCTGTCACGAAGAATCACACCCATCAAAAGGTTTCACTGTTTTCACTGCGATCTGTACTTTGGTTCCAAAAGGGACCAGCAGCGGCACAATGACACGGTGCACTTGGGGCGTACATACACTTGCCCCCTTTGTTCCAAAACATTTAAGTACAGAGAGGATAACATCAAACGGCACCGGGACAAATATTGCAAAGCAAGTTATGCGATAGAGCAGTAGCCAGATCTGATAAGGCTATCTGGTAGAGGAAAACGATCATCGAAGATAGCTACTTCTTTGGCCATGATTCAGCCTAAGAGGTCAGTCTGAGGACTTCATAAACTCTAGACCGGGCGTTACGGAGAAATTCTGTAGGTTGAGGGAAGCTTATGTTGCTGAGGATGAAAGGTTGTTATGATATAGATCTTTAGTAAGCGATCTGCAAAGCATAACTTGCAGAAAATGAAAGTATATTTCCCTGTTAGAAATTGACCGTCTCGGTTATTTCACCAGAATAGTTTCATTATTACGTGCTACAAACATCGTTGATCAAGTGGACTACGACCAGTTCTTCGCGAAGAAGTCCAATACGGTTTTGTAACCGCGTGTGTATTCCTCCTGTACGCGCGGGTCCTTGAGATCGGACCTGGCAGCCATCCAGCCATGAATTTGGTCCTTGAAAGTCTCGACGTGCTTGGGAACGCTCAGTGTGTCCTCAAACTCCTTCACTGTGTCTGCGGGTTCTTCTTTTGATGCTAACAGGATGAGGGGGACCTTGATACTGTAGCGAAAATATTAATATCTGGTGACAAGGACTCGGGAGAGAACCTCTTACCCCTTGGCCTCCTTTGGATCCACCATGGCGGGATGGCACTCGGCACCAATCTTGAAGAGGTTGTCTTCACCGCTCGTCACGAGCGATACGACTTTACCACCCCAGCAGTACTACGATATATGAGCATGATGATACTTTACGTTCTGATTTCGGACAGATACTCACGCCAATGATACCCCAAGACTCGATATTGGGGTACTTCTCCTGAGCTGCCTTGACAATACCAGGAACCTTGGCAGCGAAGCTGGGAGGGCTGTTCTTCTCGAAGAAAGCGCCTAGCTGCTTCTGTTTATCCTCATTGTCGGGAGGGAACCTAACGATAGACAGGTCAGCGCTGGATGTACATCGTCTGATGGGTTGCACTACACTTCAATGGGCAGCGGTTCGCCGGCGAAAGGGTCCGGCAGGAAAACGGCATATTTGTTATGGTCGTCGCCGAAGCCGAGGATATCGGCACCTTGGACGGTTTGATCAAAGAATCCCTGTCGAGATCGAGAAGGTTAGCTACATGCGCCATGTCGTGCGACTTCGGGAGTAAAGCCCATACGAAGATATCCATTATCATGAGGATTCCCTTCTTCGCGTCCTTGGCTGAGCCAGTCACGTAGGTCTTCTTCCCGTCAATCTCCTCATAGGAGCCCTTGGCCTTGTAGCCACTGCTGACGACAGGCGGGATGTTGCAGCAGGCCTCATTGTGGCCATGGCTGGCCTTCATGGTCGACATTTTGAATGGCTGGGTCGAGAACGGTTTGCTGAGTGTCTTTGTTGGGGGTTGAATTGACGATAGCGGCTTTGGAGAGCAGTTGTGTAATCCTCTTGAGACACAATGCGACGTTGAAACAGCAGACACGGCAGAAGTAGTGGGCGGGTGGGGTTTATAAATGCTTCGCAAAGCCGCTGATGCAGATGAAGTCGGCAGTTTGTTGGTGGATGGCATAGCGATCTATGGACGTAATTGGATCGTTTGAACTAGAGAAATGGCTTACGAAAGAGGATGGTCAACAAGTCACTCGGCGCAATTACACGTAAGACAGCAAGAAGCGAAAGTTCGCATCATACAGACGTTTTCGATGCATTACCTCGGAGCTATTGACTGCCCGCAAGCAATGTTCCTTATCGATGATGCGAGTCTCAGCGGGGTAGCTCTTGCTCTCTCTAATTCGTGACGTAGTGCGGGGCATTTCAAATCGGAAGTGCAGTTGCCGCCCCGTAGTCTCTCACTGGAAGGAGGTCCAAATCTCCATCCTGCCTTCTCGAGCGCTGGTTCTTTTCTATAATGACATGAAACTTCGAAGGCATATTTCAAGGTGCACGATGATGTATTTGGACTTCTGTAGATTGATCGCATAATATATATGAAGAGTGGATGTGGCTCCATATCCATATTTGCAGGTTTACCCCCCTAAGAAGGGCGGACCGAGCCTGCCCCTTGGCTTTATTGTTCCTGTGGGCATGCGGCAGGCGCCTAACACCTAATCAAATTGGGGAAAGAGCGGGCTCCATAGCAAGAAAGCTTAGCTCTTGAAGCTACTCTTCAAGCTGCTTGGGAATTATGCACTTCAAATCACCAACAAACCACATTTGGAATCAAGCCAGACCCAATTCGGGCGGGAAGAACAAATTGCATTTGTCGCCATGTTCCTTGCGTCTGCAGGCAAGGTAGCTGCATGGCCGTCCTCCTACGCGCGCAATCTCGGTATGGAGGAATGGAGCGCGACCTCACTGCCGGCCAACGAATCAGACCAACCTGCTCCTCCGAATGCCTCCATGACTGGGCGAGTAAACTATTTCTCCCTAAGCTGGCATGCACCATTTCTCCTTCCTTTCCTAAACTCGAAACTCTAAACAACAAATCTCAACCTCAACCTCCTTCTTGGAACCGATCAGGCGCGCAATATGTGTCATAAGGGCACAGAAGCCGAGCACATTCTCGCATTGTGATTCCGGGCCGGTACGTAGGTTGCTCTGCACCTTACATCCGCACTATAGGCAGACCGCTCGTATTTAGCTGTTTCTGTATGAAAGCGCCCATTGAGCGAAGCTCAAAGATGGATGTCATAACCGCTATTTCTTGCATCGGCTACCGCCTTCTTAACAACATCTCTCTCGGCCTTGAATCTCAGAAGATCCACGGCCTTGGATGGCGATACCCAGGCGTTGATCATACGCTCGTGGCTCTTCTGCGTTCCACTCTCTGGTGACATCTCGGAGGATTCTAGCCTTGCAGCATAATAGAAGACCATTTTGTGGACTGGAGTCGAAGACTCGGTCTGTGGGTCGGGATATGTGCACATTGCCAGTGGCTCTGTGTTCAGCATATTTGTAGCCACCTCAACCTTCTTCGCTGGAGCTGGTCCTTTCATGTGGTGTGGAGGGATAGTTGCTCGTGTTCCAACCAGGAGTGGCAGCAGCTCCACGCGGTAGCCGGTCTCTTCATACGTCTCACGGATCGCCGCTGAGACAAAGTCCTCCCCAATGTCCTTGCGACCTTTGGGGAGCTGGTAGATCTGGAGCTTCTGATTGAATATGAGAAGGACATTGGACGCCTTGAAGTCAAGTGTCACTGTCCCGCAGGAGATTGTAAAGGATGGACTGTCATGGCAGACCATGCTCTCGTCAATCGCGTCAAAGTCCAATTGCATCGTGCCGTTTCGGGGAATAGTCGGTTCCAGAACACTGGCAGTATTCAACGTCTTGACTGAACCATCCGGATGAAATATCTTCGAACGCTCCATCCGAGCCAGCCATATATCCTCGCCATCTTCCCTGGTCGAGTGACTGTTGGAGCTCCGTTTGACAGTTTTTGTGATAGCCATGACTAGTGTTTGTGATCAGACAAGAGTTGTGTCTGGGTTAAAATCGATTGCTGTTGTGCTTCAGGGGCATCTCTTTATCTCCCACACTGCCTTGAAGTCAAGTGGTCCCATTTGACTTGTCATCTCTCTGATACAGAAGTTGTGCGCGGCCAAATTCAGACGAGGCAACATGACTGTGCTTGTTAGTGGAGCCTTCTACCACGTATGCTTGGGCGACCGGTCAACAATCCTTTCACCGGTTTTCAGAAAACAATCGAGTCAGCATGCGACACAGCACAGGAACGGTGAGGCCCTGGAGCTATAACTGTCATTTAATTGCCCACTTCTGGCGCCAGTTGCCCTCCCAAATGTTACCAACAAGGGCCCTCTGGCCACTTATCTTGTTTCTCTGCCCTTTAGCGGTGACTTTCGAGTCAGACAAGCAGCCGTTGTGCCTGTTTACACAGAGCCAAGATGCAAGCCACCCGAATCGTCTTCACTCTCGGATTCATGGAACAGGAATCTCTAGGGCCAATCACCAATCGGAAGAAAACATGCTTAAACTTGATAGCTGAAGGGGCTGCATTCCTGTCCCTACTTGCAGCTCCAAATGTATTGTACTTTGGGATCGAAGACGTCATCTTGTTATACACAACATGTGTGATATGAATCCTAGTTGCCTAATTGAGAGCATCTTCAGCTTTGAGTGTTTGATCGTGGTGCGCAAGGCTTGTGGCGATGATCGCGGAGAAGTTTCGGGGGGTATTCATGAAAGAGACAAGTCAATAAAAGTTGAAGAAAGGCCGCACTTATGAGGTATTCGCCACGGTGAAGAAGCGACAGATTCTAATTGAATGTGTAGGTAGAAAGCCTTAGCCCCCCTGTCCAATTACAACGCAGATGCGCTTTTACCTACTCCGACGATCACAAGACCGCACCAAATGTCGCCAAACGCCTCATGATGCTCAAGAAGAAACAGACTAGGTATTTGATGCCTGATCACTTGCTGTAACTTGCATACTCCTTGTTGAATGCCCTTCCAATGACCATGCGCCGGACTTCAGACGTTCCAGCGCCGATTTCGTAAAGCTTCGCACTGAGGCATTGTAGTTAGTATAAGCTCGATAGGCAGACGACGTAATTGAAAGCTGGACTTACTCTCTCAATATCCTGGAAGCTGGCATTTCCTCTACATACCCCATGCCGCCCAGCACTTGTATGCAGTCCAATGCACACTCGGTTGCTCTCTCGCCCGCGTACAGGATGGCACCCGCGCAGTCCTGCGTCCGGATGATGCCTTCCTCGTCAACTGCCCGGGCGGTTGCATATGTGTAGGCCCGGCTGGCTTGCAGCTTGGTGTACATGTCTGCCAGCTTGCCTTGCACGGCCTGGAACGTTCCAATAGGCTGACCGAACTGCCTGCGCGTGTGGACGAACGGCAGCGCGACGTCCAGACTGGCTTGCATGAGGCCAATGGGGCCCGCGCTGAGCACGAGCCGTTCTAGATCCAGCCCTTCCATCAACACGCGGACGCCGCCGTTGACTTTGCCCAGGATGTTCTCCTCGGGCACGAACACCGACTCAAAGACCAGCTCGCCAGTGTTGCTGCCCCGCATGCCCATCTTGTCCAGCTTGCGCGCACAGCTGAAGCCCTCCGTGGCCGTCTCCACAATGAAGGCCGTGATGCCCTTGCTGCCGGCGTCCGGCTCCGTCTTGGCGTAGACGACGATGACGTCGGCGTCGGGCCCGTTGGTGATCCACATCTTGGTGCCGTCGAGCAGGTACCCGCCGTCGACCTTCTTGGCGGCGGTGCGCATGCTCACGACGTCCGAGCCGGCGCCGCTCTCGCTCATGGCCAGCGCGCCGACCTTGGTGCCGGCCACCAGGCCCGGCAGGTACTTCTTCTTCTGCGCGGGGCTGCCGTTGAGCTGCAGCTGGTTGACGCACAGCTGCGAGTGGGCCGCGTAGCTGAGCGCGATGGAGCCGCTCGCGCGGCTCAGCTCCTCCATCACCACGCAGTGCGCCTGGTACCCCATCCCCAGCCCGCCCGCCTCCTCGTCCGCCGTCATCCCCAGGAAGCCCGCCGCCCCGAGCTTCGCCCACATGTCCTCCGGGAAGGCATTCGACTTGTCCGTGTACGCCGCCACCTCCTCTGGGATCTCGCGCCGCGTGAACTCCTGCACGCGCTCGCGCAGCTCCTCGAGCTCGGCCTGCGAGGGCGGCTCAAAGCCCTTGGGGTGCTTGTTGGACGCATGACGGCATTGCTGATACTGGACGCTTCCAGCCGCGGGTCGGAGAAGGCATTGGCGCGCCAGCGGCGCTGCAGTGCGAGCAAGCGGTCGGAATGCCTTCAAGCTAGCCATCCTGAATATTGCTTATAGTTAGAAAGTTAGAAGAGAAAGACAAAACTCCTCTTCTCCACGCCGAACAGTCGGAGAGAGAGCCGTTGAATTGCGGGCTGTAAGACGTATGGGGTTACCCCAGGCTCGGCTTAAGGGGGGTCCATTCCAATGGCGGCTTGCTGCGGCTTTCCTCGGCCCGCCTGCTTTCAGACGTCACCTCGGCCACCAGACTCTCAGTCTCACCTCCCCCTGACCTCAAAGAACAATAGAGGACAGATGTAGTTGCTCTCTTCATCTGCTACTATCCTGTAGCGGCGGGAAGGCATTGGACTCACATCAAAATGTCGTTATCACGAAGCTCGCGAGAGCTCGCCCTTCTCTCCCGGCAATTGGCTCGACCATGCCGACGCACAGCCCTCAGCTCTCCCCGCATCGTCGGGAGTGCCAGCAGCCACCCGCATCCGTGGCGGCGGACGGTCGCGACGTTCACGGCGGCGCACCAGGCCGGCGCCATATCGACGATCAAGAGCGACGTCGACACGGCGTCCGACGAGTTCAAGGAGAACGAGCGGGCCATGGGGGAGGCGATGACGCGCCTGGCGGAGCTCACGCGGACGGTGCAGAAGGGCGGCCCGGCGAAGGCGAGGGAGAAGCACCTCGCGCGCAAGAAGATGCTCCCGCGCGACAGGGTCACGGCGCTGATTGACCCGGGCACAACGTTCCTGGAGCTGAGCCCGCTGGCGGGCCATGAGCTGTACCCGGAGGCGGAAGTCCCTTCTGGCGGTATCATTACTGGCATTGGTGTGGTGGAGGGTGTAACGTGCGTGATTGTTGCGAATGACAGCACAGTCAAGGGCGGAACATATTACCCTATCACGGTGAAGAAGCACTTGAGGGCGCAAGCTGTTGCGCAGGAGAATAATTTACCGTACGTACCTCGCTGGTCTCCTCGTTGGCTTGGGCTTACATGTGAGTTTACAGCTGCATCTACCTTGTGGATTCTGGCGGTGCCAACCTGCCGCATCAGTCAGATGTATTCCCCGACCGAGATCATTTTGGCCGGATATTCTACAACCAGGCGCGCATGTCTGCAGCCGGCATTCCACAGATATCAGTGGTAATGGGACCTTGCACGGCGGGCGGTGCATACGTGCCCGCTATGAGTGATGAGAGCATCATCGTTGAGAATCAAGGGCACATCTTCTTAGCCGGACCTCCACTTGTAAAAGCAGCTACGGGAGAGGTTGTCAGTCCGGAAGAGCTTGGCGGCGGCAAGATGCATTCGTCAGTATCTGGAGTGACCGATCACTTGGCAGTCGACGATGCGCATGCACTTGTGCTTGCACGGCGGTGCGTGAGCAATTTGAACTGGCCGCAGAAGACAGGTGTCACACCGTCGCAGACGTTTGCAGAACCTCTGTACTCACCTGAGGAGCTTCTGGGCATTGCATCAACCAACCTCCGACGGCCGCTGCCCATCCACGAGGTAATTGCTCGCATCGTGGACGGGTCCGCCTTCGCCGAGTTCAAGCGCGACTACGGTACCACCCTAGTGACCGGGTTCGCCTCGATCTACGGCCAGCGCGTCGGCATCGTAGCCAACAACGGCATCCTGTTCAGCTCCTCGGCGCTCAAGGGCGCCCACTTCATCGAGCTGTGCGCTCAGCGCGGTATCCCCCTCGTGTTCCTGCAAAACATCAGCGGCTTCATGGTTGGCCGGGACGCGGAGCGCGAGGGCATCGCCAAAAATGGCGCCAAGCTCGTGACGGCCGTGGCGTGCGCCGACGTGCCCAAGTTCACCGTCGTTGTGGGCGGCAGCTACGGCGCCGGCAACTACGGTATGTGCGGCCGGGCGTACAGTCCGCGCTTCCTCTGGATGTGGCCCAACGCGCGCATCGGCGTCATGGGCGGTGAGCAGCTGGCCGCCGTCATGGAGACGGTTGGGCAGAAGGTCGACCCGGCACTCAAGGAGCGTATTGAGCGCGAGAGCGACGCCGTGTACTCGTCTGCTAGGCTATGGGTAAGTTTCATTTCACGAATTTGTTTCATGGCCGACGCATAGTTTGCGCGTGGTTCTATCGGGACTTGTCTCAGGGAAATACCACTTCTCTACGACCGATTGATCACCTTGACCCCGATCTGCTTGAAAATACCGTCTACTGTGCTAATATGGCTTTTCTTCCGCTTAACAGGACGACGGCGTCATTCCACCCCAGCATACCCGCCGCTACCTTGGACTAGGTCTACGGGCCGCCATGACAGGTCGTAACGACGTGAGGGCGGGCGCCACCAAATTCGGGGTCTTCAGGATGTAAGGAAGACAGATAGACGTAAGGTAGATAGATAGCATAGGTCAGTGTCAGGGATCACAGACCCTACATGGGAGGTGTTGTGGTTGAGAAAGCCATTGGTCCGTAGCCTGGCCAGCCTGCTGGAAGGCGTATGTAGCACGGAGCATATGACCACGCAGACATGCAGTGAGCACATGGGCGGCATTCGAGGGCGTGGTTGGAGCGGATGCTAAGGGGCACAGAACACCGGGCGGGGGCAAGAGTTGGGAGTGAAGCCCAGGCGGTGCAGACAGAGGATGGTGAGAAGGGTCATGCGTCAGTGCCGAATGTAGCCCAGGATAGCCGTTGTTGAGATAAGTAGACGCAGACCTACCTCCACGGAGAGAGGGAGGGATGCATGAGCGGGCGCGCCGGATAGGTAGGAATGACAGCGTCCATCCCTGAGCAAGATGCCTGTGAACGAGCACAAGTACCGGTACACAAGACACCTGTAGAGACACCTCAGAAGGGGACAGCTCGTGATATCACATCTCACACACCCATCCCAAGACAACGATCCTAGACACTTGCCATCTCGCAGATCATCTGGGAGGGAAGGGTTCGCTCAGCAGCAGTAGCAGCAGCGGTACGGTACGGTACGGTGCGGCTAGGGCCGCCACGCTACACCGACTAACTTGCTAAGTAGGTACGCTACGCCGTGTTGGAGCTGAGCACGCGCCGCCGCCGCGCGGGGTCCATCTGTCTAGCAACGTACCTAGGTAGTACCTAGGTCAGCGTCTTGGAGTAATGGAGGTGATACCTGGTAGGTCGAGCCGAACTGAGAAGTTGGAGTAGGTTGGGAGCGTGGGGTGCCCCATTCGTTACCATCTCGTTACCGGCCGGATAGGGGCTTTGTTAAGGTGGTGCTGCAAGGTTAGATAGGAAATAGCAGGTAGGCTGAAGGGGTGGGGGTTCTGCACCTCTGGGCCGCTCTTCTCCTTGTCCACCACCACCGTGGTTTGTTGCGACTCGGCTGATAGAGAGGTAGCCTTGCCCGACCTTCCCAGAACGGTTCTCAATTTCTTTCTCGTAACCACAAGGTCGAACCCATCAGCACTGCTGTATCTTGGCGATTCCCGGCGAGCAAGCAAGCACGTCTGCCAGCCGCTCGCTCCCTAGCGACGGCTCGGCACACTCTTAAGCCCCTGCAACCATCTGAGGCGGCCTGCTTTGCTTTTTGGCAGGCAGACGATCTGGAGCAAAGCAAAGAAGCAAGTTGCAGTCACTAGGCCCAGCCGTTGGCTAGTCTGACCTGGTCTCCGGACCCTGGACTGGAGGCGCTCTCGTTTGCCCACCCTCACCCCGGTTGGTTGAGAGACCATGGTGAGAATGTCACTGAACGACAGGGCCGCCACTGCCTGAGAATAGCAAAGTCCACGCGGTATTGCGATGCCCTGTTCGCCGCGGAAAGTCAGCTGAATGTACCTCAGCTTGCCACAGTTCGAGGCTGATTTTCTTCGCTTTCATACGCCAGTCAGGGCACACACATTGATCAACTCAGGGACATAGGAGTCAGCATAGCAACTCAGGGGCTCCTGGTGTCCTCATAATCGCCAAAAAGGCAGTAATGCCAGTGCAATCATCACAGGTCCGAGTACAGTGTCTCAAATCGCACTCATTAAAACAAATAATTATATATTTTGTAGATCTGTGACAGATAAACGCCTTTTCGCTCAATGGCAATGCCGGACTCGGGACCTCTTGGGCCCTCGGAGCTCTACCTGACCATAACGCCGTCGAAATGCACAAGAAAGGACAACTCCTTCTCTTATCCAGGGTCTTATGAACTCTAGAAGAGCAGATCACGACGGAAAAGATGCAAGTCTGAGATCTTGGATCATTCCAGAGCTGCCTTCGCCTGCTCAACGGCACGGTGTCATTGCCGTCGGTCTCAAAACGGAGAAATACTAAGTACATCGCTCGAGTGAGATTTACAACCGTAGGGGTACGATAAAGTCTTTCACTTCTTATCTTTATCTTTATCCTCGCCTTTCTTCTTGTCTCTATGCGGGCGTATGTCACCAACCCGAGCCTTCTCGCGTTCGAGGAGGAGAGTCAACTGGCTCTTTGAGCGCCCTAGCGGCACAGCGGGCGTTGGGCTGGGCTGAGTTGGAGTAAACCTGGCTTCAAGCAGCGATGCTGTCGACGGTCTTGATACCAGGCCAGACAAGCCTGTTTCTTCAGGCAAAGTCGTCCCTAGAATACTAGACGGGTCTGGGTTCTCAAAGTCGAAGGTACCCTGGACAGCAACGTCAGACGTCGCAGCAACACTTGATGAAAGAAGCCCGCGTGGTGGAGGACGTCCAGGCGTGAGTTCACGAGGGCGTCGCGATTCAATATTAGAGCTTGATCTGGCCATGATTGGTGCAACGTGATCATCTGTTGGTACTGGGGAGAGTTCCGGTGGTGTGGTATCTCGGCTAGTTTCGACCGTTGTTCGAACGGGATCGTGTGCTTGAATGTTTCCCCTGGTATGCTCTGATGGAGAATCCCGAAGAGCTGGCTGCCTTGTTGGCGAAGGTTGAATGACAAGGGGCCGCTCCTGATTTTCTGCATGATGAGAAGAATTTCTAGGAGTCAATCGTTTTTCTGTCTGAGCCTTGGTGGCAGGCCTTTTCCCAGCTGCTTTGGCACTTAGTCCTGGTTGTTGCTCTGTATTGAGAGGGGACGCTGAACTCCCGTGAGATCTAGGTACGTGAGCCCGATTCGTATGCTCAGCGATCGTAGGTATCGATGGGTGAGATCCCGTATAGCGTGATCCAGTGGATGTCCCCTCCTTTGAACCGGGATCGGATCCAGTCGAGGATTGTGAACTCGGCCTCCTTGGTAACACAGGTCGTCTTTTGGAAGCAGTCGTTGACACAACAAATTTCTTTGTTGGTGTTCCTCTCTTCTCCATCTTTGCAGGCGATGCCGAAGCCGGTGATGGCCGCATTTCCATGCCAGTGTTTGCTGTGCTAGTCGAGGAAGGCTCTTCTCCAAGAGTAGACGTTTCGTCTTCCGAACCTGGTGGTGATACAAATCTTGCCGTCGGCCTGGGACCTGACGTTGAAGGTCCTCTAGGCTTCTTCAAGATTGGATGAAGGGGAGCTGGCCTCGATGAGGACGGAGTGTGTTCTTTAGGGGGTTCTGGCGATCTGCCCGACTGTAGCCGCGCTTGCCTCGATAGCTGGGACGAGTGTAGTCTATCAGATTCGTGCTGACTGAAACTGGGCATCTGAAAGTGACCCATTAGCGAGTTTCGGGCAATGATCTATAAGACCAACTCACCGGAGGCCCTTCATATCTATTAGGCGGCCCCCTGAGTGGCACAATCGTAGGACCTTTCGATATGTCCTCGAAAATCCTGGCGAGAGCCCGACCGCTTAGGTTTCGACGGTCACTACCCCAGACATGCCACCAAAAGTTCTCAAGACGGTGAGCTGTTGGATCTATCAGCTTTCGAAAAGTTGTGGTATAGACTATGGCGCAATGTTAGTCTACTGTGGTACTTGAAGGAAGAAGAGCTCGCGGTTAAGGTACCATGCCAATATTCCCAAATCTTCTCTGGGGGAACGACGGAGTAGCTTGCTACCTCGGCATATACATCGTCTGAATTAACGACTATACCCTTGGGCAAGAGCATGGGCACAGGAATAGCCATCTTGGACGCAGATTGGGCAAAGCGATGACCCGCAGTTTGGACGTTGGGCGGCAGCAGATCGTTCTTCCGCCGTATAGTCGCAGAGATACTTGTCAGTTGACCATACTCCGCTCCTGGGCGACCTTGCTCAACAGTGACTCGAAATACTACCTAACATGAACGCAGCCGCTCATGTTAGCTATGACGAGGTCCCGAAGAGGCAAGGAAGGCCGAGCGAGCGCACCAGGGTGACTCGCGGGGAAACGAATGCTGACTGGGAGTACAGTTGACTCCGGCTTTGTGAAGCGAGTAGGTGTCAGGCTTTTGCAAGCTCTGCCGAGGTCAGGTGGTCTCGGATGGGATGACAGAGAAGCTGTGCCTTTACCATGCCTCCTAGAGCTTCGGCTGAGCTGTAAGATAGATGCGGAAGACCGTGCTCTGTATGGCGGACCAGATTGCAGACTAGCCAGGGCTGGAATAAAGCCGGGGCAGTTGTACACGTCACTGGGGAGGAGAGCGAGAGGGAGCTTTGGGCCGATGTGAGGCTCTAGTGAATCGAAGAGGGGGAAGGGGCTGGGGCAGATGTTTCGGTGATCAGTATGCCGTGGACTGGTGTATTATGCCTGGCTCTACTGGGAACTCAGGCACGCAGGTCTAAGAGAGCGTGCCTGTTAGATTGCCTCGGAGTAACGTTCAGGGTATCGTTTCTTTTTTGTTGGCGACTCGACAGGTCGACAGAGAGTGAACGGCACCCCGAGTGTGTATTGGGGTATTAGCGAGACTGGACGTATGGGCGACGGCCTGCTTATGCCGGCTGCGGAGCAGCGAGAGGAGAACCTGGACTGGGTGATGGGGCCGGGGAGGGGAAGCAGATCAGATATCGGGTACTGTACAAGTACACGCTGGCTGCCAGCTCCAAGTCAAGTCCAGTCAAGTTGATTTGATTCGATTCGACTACGGGCGGCGGTGGTGGAGAGAATGAGAGGAGATGTACGATACAAATGCCATCATCATCATCATCACCATCATTGTGATCCCGGTGACTTATTGCTGGCTCAGAGGGGTGACAAGAGTGCAGAGAGCCACTGATGAACGAAGGTCAAGAGTCAAGCCACACCTACACCGGGCAAGAGTGAAGTGAGCGAGGCAAGGCAAAGCACGGTTGTGACGGTCGTTCTTGCCTACCGAACCGTGGAGTGACGGGCAGACGGGAAGGGACCCCAGGTAGAGTAGAAGAATACCTCGAGGCAAGGTCGATCACATGGGAAAAGAAAAAGAAGCCAAAGGGAAGGAGGAAACGACTGGACAGAGACAGCATTGGGCGGAGGTGGAGGAAAAAAGAAGGAAAAAAAGGACACTGACAGAGGTGGCTCCCTGCCCCATGCGTGCCTGCGCGTGCATCACGGCTCCCTGAGTCGGGAGCCTCCCAGCCCGCTAGCATCCACTAAAAAGGCCCTAGCTCCAGCAGGCTCTTCTAGCGCCTTGCAGGGTCCCAGAGACTAACACCAACGCTGCCGGTACCAGTACATGCACGCATTCCCATCCCATTCCATCCAGCAACCCTCCTCCTGACTTGTAATCGGCATTGCGCCGATTGACGTTAGCCTAGCGGGGAACCAGAGGCAATTCCACGTTGTTGTTGTTGGGCTGGGATGGGATGGGTGCTTTACCAGTCCCCCAGTCCCTGTCGCCCCTACCTACCAACGCAGTATGTAAGCTCAGGTAAGGTAAGGGACGGGCTTAATGGGTAGTTTACCTTGCGCATGGTTACCTTAGTCACAGCACGTTATTCGCCTCCGCAACCTTCCAATCGATGGCACCTCCTGCCATGCCATGACAGTAGGTAAAAGAAGCGCAGTGCTACTCTAGCGACGGTTGTCTGGATAGGTAGGTAGTGAGGTAGCGCCTCCCGCCGCTGGGGTCTCAGTCTGTTATCGACATCGAACCTTCCAGGTACTGGTATTCGATTGCTCCTTCCAAAATCCCAGTCTAATATTGCTGGCCAAGCAACATGAACTAAACTATTTGGGTAGGCTCGATGGAGATGACGGGGAAGGCAGGAAATTGCTATCTCACTCACCACACACCTACTACATACCTAGGTCGATAGTATCGACTATACCTATATAATTACTACATAGTAATGTAATTCGTAGTAGCCTCAGCACTCGGCATGTGGTCGGCGCGACCGGGTGCGCAAGGCGGCGTAGTTTCCAGACTTGAGGTATTAGTATCCGCACGTGGCAGGGACAGGGCAGGGGCAGAGCACATGGGTGCAAAGAAGCGATGCTCGACTGAATGTACCGCATGTATGCGGTACAGTTGGGTACTGTCCCGACTGTCTGACTGCGTGTGTGGATGCTGCACTTGCACTTATAGCACTGTAATGGAGTGAGGAAAGAGCAGAGTGTACTGTGCTCCACTGTAATCGACCGACCGCCTTACTCTGCAGGCAGGTACGCGGTACGCAGATGGCAGACAACGCATTTCGAGATAGATAGGGTAATTGCCTCCCCAGATTCCGCCTTTCCTTCTCCTCTGACCGAGTCACGCTCGTGAACCACGCAGTAACATTTTCCCTCTTTTTGCCTCGATATGGATTAAGCTAGTCAATCCAGAGTCAATCTTACTCTCACCAAAGCCATGCGCATCAAGCACTCTCGAGCCCGGCGGCGAATCCAATTGTTCCACTTTAGATAAGAGTCGGCCGTCGTCGCTTTGTTCCGATCATTGAGGAGAAGAGGGAGTTCGCCGCACCGCTTCCTCTCGGCCCTCGTTCTACAACCGAGCAAACTTGACATACGGACCATTCAGAAAGCGATATGCCAGCATGGCCGACAAGGTACTTTATACGCTCCTAGGAAGCTGGACCGACCCGCCGCCGAGGGTCTGCCGTAAGAGCGGTCAAGAGTGGCCTGTCATGGACCTCGAAACCCACAGCTTTCGTGGTGATTCGGGATCCCCTAGCAGATCGTGAGACGAGGTTAAGCTGTCACAGACCAGAATACTTTTCTTGCGTGTACTGTTACAGCAGGGGCTGCCCCAGCTGACCACTGTTCGTCTCGCGCGATCCTGCTAGACTGATCTCCTAGCCCACTATGGCAGCTGTCCTGAGCTTATCCCGTCCCCGTTCGGACAGTAACGCAGATGCCCGATTTGGGGTCTAGACGCTTCGCCCCCCACGACAAGGGTTTATGTTCCAGAACAACAAAGTGCTGGCGGGGTCACTACAACGTACCCGGAAATCCCCATGACACAGGATGGGTTTCCTTACAGGCTTTGATCCCGAATGCTACGTTTGCTTCGACATGTTCCGACTAGTTCTGGCTCCTCCTTCGATTCCATGCTGAGTGACAAAACCAGACCGCCTACTGCTGTCAGCAAGCGCGGAGAGCATCCCAAGTTACCCGTACCGCATGACGGCGACATCTGGGTCTAAAATGTGTAGCGGATTGCATCGAAGAAGCTTGTGGCCGGTCCGCGACTTGTACAGTACAGGGCCACTGCCCGGCAGCTAGGTCGAGCGGGTTTCGATGCTGCATTTAATTTGGCTATCGGCAAGGCACCCTGGGTTGGTGCGCTGGACCCTATAACCGGCTAGCTACATGCAGATGGGTCGTCGGGGTACCGCTAGGGCGTGACTCCCGAGTCGCTGGATGCTGTTGGCTAGTTACTCGTCACGATGTCTCCATATATCAAGGTAAGTTTCGGAACTTGGGGGCACTTCAGCCTCGTCAATTGAGTTAAAAGACTCCCTAGGGACAAGCTTGTTGTCAGATGCCAGAGAGTGCAACCACATTTGCTTGACTCCTTAAGGCAACTTGTGGCTCAACCTTTTTTTCCAGATCCCGCAGCAACTCTCAAGGACAGGTGCCGAATGTACAGTTAGAGTAAGAGGCTCCAGAGCTGCCTGGCGTGAGCTCTCCAATTCTCAAAGGTAGATGCCCTGGCTGTTCACCGCCTCTGTGGGACGAAACGGCGGGTCCAGGCATCCCCACGCTACAACTCATACTTGGCCGTTTTCACGACCTTGAATGACGCCATGTCTCATTTGCAATATGTCTTTCCACGAACTATCACCAGCCTGTGGCCAAACGGAGAGCTGCCATCCGTTGCACCAGTCGCCTTTAGCGAATTCCTTTCTTCTCGACCCATTCTTAGTACGTAAGATAGGGCAATGATCCGTACAAAGGCATAAGAACACCCTGCCTCTTCGGAGCTGTGAACTCTTGTCTTCCCGGCTCCTGGGTCTTCTGATCTGCCTTCTGCGGGGATACTTCAAGTCGTGTGACCACAAGTCCATAGCGCAACGTCGTTGATATTCGGCGTTGTCCCATTTCTATTGGTCCTGACTTGCGCAGCAGCATTGCACTAACATCGGCCGGAAAAGTGATGGTAATCCAATTACTCGAAAGTTTGGTAGATTTGCCCTGAAATCTCAAGCGTTATGCCAATACTTCCCCAGGCGCAATTTGGAGGGTGACATATCTCAGAGCGTGTTGCTTCTGCTGCTATCGCCTCAGCTTATGGTGGTCTTAGGCTAGCATCCCGTCACCTACTGTCCACTCACACCTATCACAGTTATTTAACCGCCTGAGGGACTTAGCTTTGGAGATACTTTGCGTCCATCGCACTCTATTACACCGATTCCATAGTCTCGGGACAACTTCATCATATGATCACTTAGATTTTTCCCGATCGCCATCACAACCCACCAAGTGTCGATGAAACATTCGAATACTGTTTCAATCTAGCCATCTACCAGGAGTTCTCTGCTCCGTGTTCACAATTCGAGCTCAATGAGGTTATGCCAAAGATACTTGCACTATACCTTCTAAGGAATGTTTACTTGCTGCTGCCAACGGCACACACTTTCTGAGCTTTTCCGAAAGTTATCTGCTTTCAGAAGACCTAAAATGGTTCAGGCAAGCCGCCAAGTGACGTCCTGGCCCGAGAGCCAGGCATTTGCTCGAAATCCTTCGACATAACCGGGGCAACACTCGATGGAACAAGCTTTCTGTGAGATCCAGTTGACATGCTCGAGAACAACACATTGCAGCGAAACCAGTCCTGGTACTTAGCTTTCCCAAGCATTGTAAACAATTGATCACGACTTTGGAGAATGGGTTCACTATGCATCTCTTGTCTTTACGCCAGCATTCCAAGTCAAAGTTGACGCTGTTTGATTTCTTGGACAGCTACGGTAGCTCCGAGGTTGTCTAGTTGCAAATTCGCCTCCCATCACCAACACCACCACAACTGCCCTGCAGGTACAAAGCCGTACATTGGTCAGTCGCTTTTTTGATACAAGAAGTGGTGGCTTCATTTAGGAGGTGAACGCACCGCAAGGTTCAACCACCACCCGCAGATACTGCTGCAGCGGTGGTGTCTTCTGTTGGTTGCACAGCAGGCCCTCGCAGTTCCCAACAATCTCTTCCTTGTTCCCGAGTTCCAACCAGAAGCATCGAGGTGTAACCACACCGGCTAGACCTCAACCTACAAGGGCTACTCATCTCATATTATCTAGTCGCATCCATGGGCCCGACCCGCCCCCTCACCCCAACGGCCGGTAGGCTTGGGTGGCGCCGTAAGCCGGCGCTCGGTGTGGTGTCGACGGGGGGCTCCTGCCTCCTGGGAACCGGTCGGTGGACGGGAGGTTCGTGGGGGAAAGGAGGGCGGCAGGCCGGTGAGGACCCCCAGCGAGCCCCAGCTTGCGAATGGTAATCTCCTCCACCGGATTGTGGGTGCTAGATGGCAGATGACAGGTTCCGAGGCTAGACGTCTTTGTGCAACGTGACAGATCTCAGCAATGGCATATTTCCCCTGTCACTGACCACTCACGGCTGTCACTTGACTGACGTGCTATTGTTGGTCCTGGATGGCACCTGGATACGCTGTCGGTCTACTATGGTGATTTGGGGTAAGAATAATTGCTTCAATGTTTAGCACTATTTGCTCGCTACCCAAGGCGTTTATGAAGCTCGCCTTGGACATGTTTTCAAGGGTCTGGTTCCGGTGGCTTCTGCATGATGTCCCGGGCGACATACCCGAAGGTGACCTAATGAGCAATCAGTCGGTACATCTGTTGGTAATGTACAGCAAGCATTGCTGCAGCTCAATGCGGCTCGGAAGTTTTGTCTTATTTCAGCGCCCGCGGTACTGCACCCCGTATTAATCTAACCTACAGATTCGGCTCTTCTTATCGCAGCCACATCAAATTATATATAACCTATCATCACGCTTTTCATCCTCGCCATGAGTCTTATCAACACGTCCCCAACTATTCGTTGAGCTCAACATTTAGGTGACAGTGTAGCCACCGTCGACACGCAGGTCGGCGCCCGTGACGTAGTTGGCCGCGTCCGAGAGCAAGAAGGTCACCGGCCCCATAAGATCCTGAGGTGAGCCCATCTGGCCCTGCGGAATAAGAGATGTCCACTGGCGCTTGAGGTCCGGGTTGTCGTCGAGAATCTTCTGCGTGCTATCTCGGGGTTAGCAAATGGTGGAACTAATGGATCGATACGGAGGTGCTCACAGGGCAGTCAGCATGTAGCCGGGCGAGATGCAGTTGACACGGATCCCAGCATGTGCCCACTCGACTGCCAGCGAGGCTGCGAGATGGCGTACAGCCGCCTTGGCGCTGTTATACGGACTGCGATGGGATTGGTGTTAGCTCGTAATCCGCACCATCTGAAGATGTCCACTCTGACGGCTCTCAAGAGAGGGTAGGAATGAGTTCAGGGCGGCTACTCACGCTTGCGGCTGCGGCACGTTGACAATGGAACCACTCATGCTGCCAATGAAGACCATGCTGCCCTTGGCCTCGCGCTCCATGAGGTGACGGGCCACGGAGGTCGCGAACAGGTACGTGCCGTCGACGTTGACGCCCCACAGCTTGCGCATGCGGTCAATGGGGTACTTGACGGCCTCGAAGTTCTCGGTGAAGCCGGCGCTGGTCACCAGGTTGTCAATCTTGCCGTGAGCCTTGACGATCTCGGCAATGCACGCCTCGACGGACTCTGGATCCGACACGTCCGCGTAATGTGCAGTCACCTTGGGCAGCCTGTTGTAATTGCAATCGTTAGCATGGAGACCAACGTCCAGCACTACTGAGGAAGACTGACCTCTTGGCTTTTGGATGCTCCGCCTTGAAGGTATCAACGATCGCCTTTGCCTGGGCTTCGGCTTCCTCCTCTGTGCATTGCCGCGTTAGCTACTGTGCTCATTTTTTGAGAGTGGATTTGTCTGAGACGTACTGTTCAAGTCAACAATGGCCAGATCGGCACCGCTAATCACCATGCCCTGGCCCATGACCAACCCCAGACCCCTCGCACCGCCCGTGACGACGCCGACCTTGCCCTCGAGCGAGAAGGTCGCCAGCGTGGGGTAGACGTTGACGCCCGCGCGGCCCTGGCCCTCGGCGAGGGCGCTGGGCGGGAACTCGTCGTCGGGCGGGTACTCGACGGTGATGGTCTCGTCTGTGCGGGCGAGGGCACCGGGCTGCAGGGCCTCCTCGTCGGTCTTCTTGGCGTCGCTCCGGCGGACGGCCGAGGTGTGGATGCTGGAGCGGCCGGAGACGACGACGGCGGCGGCGGCGGAAGCTGCAGGAGCTACTGCTGGGCGTGTGGTGGTGGCCGTGGCAGCTCTGGAAAGGGCGGCGGCTGGGCCGCGGGCGTGCAGAGCCCGTTGCACAGCTCGAGAGAACATCTTGGTGGGCTCAGATGCAGACTGGTGATTATGGAGGAGGAGGAGGAGAAGGGGGGGGAGAGAGGGAGGGAGGAGAGTAAATGTAAGTATGCGTGAGTGAGGGCTTTTTTAAAAGAAGCTTGATGTGCACGAAGGTCGGTTCGTAGTAATCGACTCGAGCTCAGGGATCGTTGGTGGGGTAAGGCAGAGAGAGCTTCCCCTTAGAGGGCTTAGACAATGATATCACGATCTGCAGAGGAACTGAGAAATGTACTCGAGTAGCTTCCCGCCCAGATCTGGCTGATCTCAATTGGAAGCATGCAATTCCCTCACGATGGCTCCAAGAAAAGTAAATTAAAAATTAAAGATGATGGCTTATATTAGAGTATTAGGATGTTTGTTTGCACTGGAAAACAGGAGGAAAAGGACAACTCAGCAAGGAGGGCCCTCGTAAGCTGTCATCGGACTTACATATCTTTTTTTTTTTTCTTTTTTTCTTTCTCACGATGGCATAGGCATGGCAATTCCCACTTTCACTCTTAGGAACAGGGTGGGGTTCCAACAATCACGCATGTCCTCTTCCTCTACTGCATAATTAGGTACGTAGAACTTCTAGACTGCTCGAGCACACTTCGGCAAGCTGCGCCAAGGCCACCTCGCAGGCCCAAAAGGGTGCTGGCCCCCAAGAGCAAAAGGCCCAGATCCAGGCGGGAACGGGGAACGGGGATCGGGGCTCTGTCACCCTCTGCCATCCGGCCTTCTCCACACCTACCCCAATTCCTTAGTCTGCGTGCTAGAGTCGCAGTAAATCGCGGCACAGGGGGCTCCTAGAGTAGACTCCCCTCTCTCTGATGACGGGTCCGAGAGAGAGACTTTAGTGTCGAGCTGTCGTCGATGTTTCCTCGACCGGACGGATCAGATGAGCCCGTCGTGTTGGCCATGGATATAAAGCGGGTACAGCACACTGCATTGCATCGCATCGCATCGCATCGCTGCTGGCAGGCGGACACGAGGTCGCAGGTACGGGTACCCGTTTCGCCAGACGCAGCAGCTCATCACCAAAAAAATAAAAAATAAAATAAAATAAAAATGGAGACGCACCGTTCCTTCGTAGGATTCTAGAACAATCACAATCACAATCACCCAACATCGTCTCTCGTATAGCAGCAGCGCGTAGTCTCTGTTGGGCATCCGGTATCGACCGGACTTCAGCCGGCCAAATCGGCGTCAGCGACGGCGAGCACGACGACGGCAATGTCGGTGAGAGGCTGAGTGTGCGTGCACGGGAACCATCACGGAACATGCATCGTGAGATAATTTAATTCTATGCACGGGCGGAGTTTGACACCGGATTCTCCAAGGAGGACTTCCGCCTGTAGAGTCGCCCTACTTCCCTTCCATCCTACCTACAGTAGCTCTGTTCACCGTCTGCATATGCATATGCATAGGTATCATTTACAAGTGCCCATTCATGACATGATATTATCAGAATTGCTTCAAACTACAGACATGTCCATAGATTCATAGCTAAGTAGGTGTGCAGGCTGGCCATAGAACAGTTGAGGCATCATGACTTTTAGCATTGGGGCCAGCCTGGCAAGCTGATTGAGCAAAACAACCTAACTTTCATTTCAGGTTCCTCTACACCTCCGCCAGGGTAA